ACCAGGAGGGGCGTCCAGGGACGCCTCCTTCCCCAGCTGTATTTCATCGGTGAACCAAGGACCTCCCATCTCTTCTAACTCTGTCACCGGATTACTGGGACCCCAGGGTTTCCACACAGCCTCTAAGCAGCAAGTCTTTGCTTGCGGAATATGTGCATTCCAGCCAAGTCAGCTTCAAAACTCAGCTCCAAAAAGCAAACCCTACCGTTGAAATCAAAGCTGTTTCCAATAAGAACAAAATTCCTAACAGTCGGAATGGAGAACTTAAAGGCTCTCTTACACAAAGAGCATTCTCAGGCGATTTCTCTCCACTCCCTCGCCACCATCTTGGGATTCTATGATTTTGTACCCAGACAGCATAAGCATTGTCTGAGCACCCGTCCGCCTCCCCTTTGGTCATCTGCAGTTTCTAATGGAAGCGTCTTGAAGATAATGAGCTCCAGCAGGTGCACTATCTGTCATGCCCAGACAGGCCCCGCTCACCAGCCAGTGACCCGCACACTCTCTCAGCCCCTCCCTTTGGGCCAGGATCTGACACAGAAGCGGCAGGGAAGATCACCAGACCTTCCAGAGAACCTCGCCTCTGTGGTGGCAGGAGGCCGACAGTCGGGAAGTGCTCATGGGCTCTGACTCCAGAGCTCACACCTGGACCTGGTTACCTGTTCTGTCCTGTGCTTAGGAACAGGACAGCCCCATGCCCGCCCCGCCCCGCTGCACGGGCCAGAGATGCACCCCACGAGCCTGGCCTCCATCTCCCATCTCAGTGACGACGGGGCTGGATCAGATCGGCTTTCCTCCCTGTGTGGTCCTGAGACCGCCTGTGCAGAATCCCCTTGTTAATGCAGATCTCTCTGCCTTGTCTGGAACTGGTGTGAATAGGACCCCCTCTGGGGGTCCGGCCTGTGAAGACCCAAGCTCAGCCATCTCCCCAGATGGTTCTGGTAAGGTCTGAGAACCCCTGTTCTCAATGGACTGTTCATACTGTGTGTTTATTTACACCTCGGGGGGGGGGGGGGAATAGTGCAATCTGTTTTCTTCTCACCCCCGCATTGGGAGGAAGGGAGTGGGAGTTTTGGGGGGCAGAGAGGAACCAGACCACACGGGGGATGTGGGCAGGGCTAGACTTAGGGCTGGGGTCTGCAGTTGGTACCGAAACCCAGAAGGCCCTACTCCTCCTGTTTGGGGCAGCGCTTTAACTATGTGTCCTTCAGTGGGGCTGGCTTTGCGGGATGCGCGCAGAAGGTGAGCAGGGCTCTTGGATCCTCGAGAGCTGACTTTCATGGAGCCCGAACATCCTTGCGTGTGGCAGAGGTGGGGCTGGGTGGGGTTTAGGGAGGGGAAGGGAGATGGCTGTGCATTCCAGCCCCAATTTCCCTTCTGTCGGACTGAGTCTCCTGATCCAATCAAGATGATGAGAGGAACCTTCTGCCCCCCACCCCAAAACTCCCACTCCCTTCCTCCCAATGTGGGGGTGAGAAGAAAACAGATTGCACTATTTCCCCCCAAGGTTAAATAAACACATGGTATGGATAGTCCATTGAGAACAGGGGTTCTCACACCTCACCAGGAGAAAATTCCAGAAGCCCCCTTGTGGGTGGGCCAAGGGGAAGACACTCAGGTGGACCAGGCGGCCAGGCCTGGGCTGCTCTGAAGCCCGTCCTCACGTGGTAGTGGTCACTCAGCTTCATCACTGCTCTGCTGTTCTGTAGAATACTCTGGGTCCCCTAAAGCAGGCATCTAATTTAGCCTAAGGTAGCTTTCGCTTATCAAAGGAGACCTGGGGGGTGGGGAGGGAGCAGGACACGCTCTAGAGAGCAGTCAAAAGGTAAAAGATGACATTATAAAAATCCATTCTTTCCTCTCCACTTCACTGCTCTATTGACTATTTTCCTGTTCAGTCAAATCCTATCACAGCTGCAACTCCCATTTTAGGAACTGCCAAGACGGTAAGTGTCCTGTCCTGTCTTGACTGTCCTGTGCTTGCTGCTGCCAGAGCGCTCCTTCCCTTCCCATCCCGGAGGGCCTGGGTCAGTCTGCTCCTAAGTCCTCACCTTTTTCGTTTTCTAGTGTGCTGTGGCGCCGACCTAAGGAATGGGGGCCGGGGTACAGATTCCTGTGAGGAGGAGGCAGAGGGATGGCACACAACTCCCAGGGCAGCAGAGCCGGCCAGAAACCCCCGCCAGGTCTCAGGGCGGCGCGCCCCACTGCTGTGGCCTGCTGGCTGCCCTGTTCTCGTTCACGCAGCACGCGGAGCGGAATGTGTGCGAGGCCATGCTGGACATGCGGGCGGCGCCGGGGCCTGACCGCAGAGGGTTAACAGCCTGTGCTTATCGACTGACATCTCAACGACTGTTCAATAACAACGCGCCTCACGCTGACTGGATACATTTAGCTTTGCTCCTGGCAGATCGAGCGCAAATTTGCTTTTGGGGGATTAGAGCTTATTTCCTTCCTTCAACAGTTAATCACTGAGGGCTGCAGTGATTGCAAGTCCAACCGATTCATTACTGTATTTGGCCTGATACAGCGCACATTGTGCCTAGAAAGGGTCCTAAAGAGCCAGAGTTTCTTGTGGCTCATCCATCCCGTCCTGCTTACTCGCCATGCCTGTGATCATCACTGCCTTCCTTGGAGGGCTTATTGTATGCCACACACTGTATCCAGCCCACTTTCTTCCATTGAATCCTTAAGACATCCCTGGGAAGTTGGCCATCTTAGTACTCTCATTTTGGAGTTGGGAGGTTGAGGCCCAGGCACCTGAGCACTGTCCCAGGCCACACAGCCAGTGAGAGAGCTTGGGTGGAGGCGCTGTCTGACGGGCTCTGGGTGCTGTGGGCTGGCTCACTGCAGGGACCGGGCCAGGGCCGGGGAACACCTGCTCTCTGTGGACACAAACCACTTCTCTGCCTCAGACTCACTGCTGTGACTGTGGGTCTGTGGTTTTGTAGCATCAGCCCCACCTTCTAGATAGTCCCCCTTTGGCAGAGCAGCACAGTCTGTGATTCTGAGCTGAGGGGCACGGGCTTCCTTGCCCTTAGTCTGCATTCTTGGACACAAGTGTCTCCCTGTGATGAGACAAGTTTACTCCCCAGAAGAAGGGTAAAGTGAAACCCTGCTGTATGGGGTGGGGGCGGGGGTCAGGGACCCTGCGTGAAGGAGCCTTAGCCATTTTCACCATCTAGAAAGCAAATCCAGGCCATTCAGGGGTGCTTGGGACAGGAGGTTCTTAGCCCAGCAGGTTCCTACTTCTGCACTTTGGGTGGAGACCTGACTGTCCTTTCCTTAAGATTCAGGGCAGGAGCTTGACAAAAGCAGGGAGACATTCTGGGGCTGGGTGGGAGGCAGGGCCTAGACTGGAAAAACTGCTGAGCTTCAGGCATTTTCCATAACGAGCAGTGTTCCTGCACTATGAGCAAGATGGTAAGCCACTTCCGTCTTACAGGTGAGGGCACAAACTTGGATAAATCAGGTAACTTGGTTTAAAGTCATCAGGCAGTACATGTCTGGGCCTGGATGGACCCAGGGGAGCCAGGTTCTCCCACTAGGTCGTTGCTGGCGCTGCTGCTGCCCCTGCAGGAGACCGAGTTGCTCTGGGTCTTCAAGGATGCGGGTTAGCGACACCACCTCCCTGGGTGCTATTGTCTTGCTCTGCCTGCAGCAACTACTTCTGAACCCTGATGTCACTAGGCCTGAGGGTGCTCCTTGCTGTCCTCTTCGGGGCCTCCCTGTTGCTGCTGTGGTGAGTGAAGTTTCAGGACTTGCTGGGTGTTCAGATGCAGGCATGGCCTGCCCAGCCCAACACGGAGAGCTGCTGACCCGCAGCCTGGCCTGCCCTGCCACGCGCAGAGGGCTGCCCAGGGCAGCCCTGCTAGCACAGGTGAGTCAGTGTCCTGTGGGGTGACTGGACTAGTGACAGGCAACAGATGGGAAAGATCCACCTGATAAATTCTCTATTTCTCATCTCGGTGTGATTTTCTGAGATGTGTTTCTGTACACTCTTCCAGAGAGGGCACGAGCGGGCTGTGTGTTCTGCTAGGTGATGGCCAGGTCGGCAACCTGTGTTGGCTTGCCCTCCTCCCACATGCCACCTGCCTCCTTCCTTGTCTTATTTCACATGCACTGTGCTGTGCAACCACCCCAGGCCGGGTAGGTTCATCATTGACTCGGGTAGATGAAAAGAGAATTTTGGAGCCTTCATTATCTCTAACATGCTGCTAACGCTGAATCAGGGGACCAGGGACACAGGCAGACCAGGCAGGGAGGCAGCAACTGAGCCCCCAGCCTCATAGTGTCACCATGAATGCCAGCACTGAGGACCCTTTTTAGCTCTCGCTCCTCAGCCCAGGTGTTAGCATTTATATATGAGCTGGGTTCTTGGGCCCTGGTGCCTGCAATTACAGGTGGGCATGCCTGTGCTCATGCTCCCGAGTGCCCACCACGACAACGTGGTGGGCAGTGAAACCTGGGAGGAAAACAAGGCTGTGGGTACTGGCTGTGGATGCTGGTGGGGGGAGGTGAAAAAGCCTGAGGACCCCATGTTTCTCACACACTGCGACTGCCTTGCTCCAGTGAAGTGCTGGCTGCAAGAGGCCTTTGTCTTCTGAGTCCCTTAGATTAAGAAAATAATAGCAGTAATGGTAACAGTAATTCCATATTGAGAGTGTCTGTGGCAGCTCTATCAGATCATGGAATCCTCACACCATCCCCAAGGAAGCAGGTACAGCCATCCTCATTTTAAAGGTGAGGAAACTAAGGTTCAGAGAAGTTAAGGAACACACTCATGGCCACACAGCTTGTAAGTGGCAAAGTGAGGATTCAACCTATCTCTTCTGTCCTTCCAAATCCAGAACCGGAACTCTTAATCGCCCTTGAGGAAGGTTGCATTTAACCTTTAGAAGTATCATGGGGACCCGAGTCTTTGAGTGGTGCCACCTTCAAGAGACTCTCAAGGATCCCTGGGAAGCCCAGAGAGACCCTCCGGAGAGGCCTGGGATACTCACGTTGTAAACGCTGGGTTGTACTTTGCACCTCGGTAGTAGGAGTACAGATTGAACATTCCAATCATGAAGGCCACAAATACCATGATGAAAATGACCATAAACTTGAAGATATCTTTCACGGTTCTCCCCAGGGATATCTGCAGAGGCCCAAAGCTCTCATTGGCTGGCAAGATGTACGCGATTCGAGAGAAGCTCAACACGACGGCTATCGCATAGAGTCCTTCCGATATGATCTGAGGGTCTGAAGGCCACCATTTGTCCCTGGCTGAAAGAAAACAATCCGGGTTACTCACTGGGTGGGTGTGGGAGACAGGATGTCTCTTGGAAGAGAAGCCAGTTAGGCATCTTTAGAGGGGTCTAACTTGATCGCTTGCCGTTGCTGCCTTTGTCATTAATCCTGATCCGAGGAAGGTGCATCCTCTTGGGATATGTCTGTCCATCTGTCTGGAGCACACATCCCTCACTTCCAGGTCAATTGCATTCCTAATCATCTTTCAAGGTTCTGCTTCTATGCCAACTCTTTCAGGAAGCCCTCTATGACCCCCGCAGGCTGGGGCAGATTTCCTGTTCCTCCCTCTGCTCCCACAGTGTCCTGTGCACCCCCCCCGCCCCCACCCCGGGCCTGGCATGTGCCATGCTGCTTGCTGTTGTGTCTTCCTTGCTACTTTTTTTTTTTTTAAAGATTGATTAATTTATGCATACAAGAACTGGGGTATAGGCCAGAAGTGTGGGGGGTGAGAGGATTCACCAGAGGCAGAGCGGGGAACAGAACAGGCAGATTGACTGAAATACACTGCTGAGGGGAGCAGCGGGCGAGACACGAGCGGTCTGCTGTGCCATGTGGTTATCTCCCTGGCCAGCCGGGAATCAAACCTGTGCTGCAGTGGCTGTGGATAGCTTCATAGGTTGTGTATCAATCCCTTGCGCCACCAGGGAGGCCCCTCTTACCAGCTATAGAGCCATGAGCAGGGGTGGCTCATTCACCAGGAGGTAGGGAAAGGAGCTTGGATTTGGGAGTCAGACAGACCAGAGATGGCCTTTCTACTCACTGGCTGGATGACTCTGAGCAAGTCAACTTGCTTTTTTGAGCCTAATTCCTTCATCTGTGAATCAGTAGTTATATCAACCTCACAGAGCTAAGGTGAGGATGATATGAAATCATATGTAAAGTACTTCACAAAGGGCCAGGCATGCAGTGGGTGCTGATACATGTCTGTCAAATGACTGAATGAACACCTTATGACAGGTTAATCTAGCCCCACATTAGAATAAATGAGCTCACACGGGACCCAGGAACCTGAAGGATCTTGTCTGAGACGAATGCTCCTGGGTTTTATTCCTCAGGCAGTGTGTGTCTAGGACAGTTGCTCCCTGATTCAGTCAATGTCCCCTAAATGATGACCACTTACTTAAATTTGCCACTATGGCCCTGTTCCAGGTGGTGAGAGTTCTTGGACCTGTCCTGGGGACATTCTGCGTGTGGTCACTGCCCTGGGGGTGTCCTGCAGCTCAGCAAACTGCAAAGTGTTCCTGTGGCATTTCTAAGAGTCCAAAGAGCAGCATCTGTCACCAATCAGCTGCCTGCTGTGGATCAGGATATAGGGTGAGTCTCAAGTGGGGCAATGCCTTCCTTCTGGAAAAGTGTATGTGTGTGTGTGTGTGTGTGGGTGTGGGGGGAGGTGTCTTCAATTTATATGAGTGGTAAGAGTATTACTGAGCTGCTAATATCCTGCGATGCTCCAGACCCACACATGAAAATTGCCCTGCTGAAAATCCAATAGCGTCCCTGTTGAGAAGTGCTAAGTGAGACTTAAATTGAGAAACATTGAGAAACCTAAATTAGCCCTTATACCTACATTAGCTGTAATTTTCACAACAGTCCTGTAGAGTAGATATTATTATTGTCATTTTAAAGATTGGATTTGGGGTATGGGGTCCTTTTCAGAGAGTCAGATAAATGTAGATAGCAAGGATATTACATAGCAATTCTTGGCACCCCAAGGGAGATAGAAGAGGAAGAATTTCAGTCTTTATTTTCAAAGCTAGACTCTGTTAAACAATTATAATAATAAAGAGCACGGAGAAACATTTAGTAAGAAAAGCCAGGCCTCCTATTTGCCACAAAGTTTCACATAGTACTTTCTAAATTACATTTGGAAATATAATAAAATTATAGACTCTATGTTCTCACCAAGGTTATAGCTCAGAAGTCTATAAAAAACAAATCAGAAAACAAATCATGTTTTCCCAATACAGCTGTTGTCTTCTGTGAATAAATAACACATTTGGATAATATGAAGTAGGACTTGGCTTCTCCAAACTAAGACCAAAAGGGGATTATTTTTCTTTCCCCTATAATTTAAACCTTAAATCTCAGCTGTAATAATTGAAGCCCCTCCTACCATCTGTTAAGATAAATGTAGCTGTCATCAGATGCTGGTGACCAGGTTAGAAATTTCAGTGAATAATATTCTACTTGGACAACTTTGTAAAAGTGTGATGGATGGAAAATAAAAAGGCACTGTGATGATTTAGATGAAGGGATTTTCTTCTTCTTGGAGCGCCTTCCATGTGAAAAAAGTCCTTATCACAACCTGAAAAATTAACATCTCCCTATTTGGGTGCAAGAGATTGGAAGTTACACACCTCTGACTGACCACGAGAGGGTGCTCTTCTCCTGCAGCTGGCACACCCTCGAAACTTGGAGAGATCAAAAGATTTCCAAGGGCACAAGGGGAAACACAAAAGCAAGGGCAACAATGTGTAATGTGTTAAGTTGGGTGGGTGAGACCTTTATAGAATCCATAAGAGAAATAGAAGTCTCAGATGGACAATATTCAGCCTGAGTCATGACAGTAAGGAACGTGTCCAATGCAGTATCACATTTCACTCATTTTTCTTTGATTGACAGCACAGGGGAAAATGTACATATCCATTTTCCTTTTGAAAATCTGAATTTGCTCAATCAACAAATGAAGAGTGGATAATTTGTAATATTACAGGACTCTTCATTTCTCAGTAGGGGTTTCCTACCACCTTTACAGGTACCATACTGTGTGCAACTCAAACAACTTTGAATATGGGCAGCAGCTCAACTTTTGCATAGAGTAGCCAAGCCCTCTGCAGATAGTGACTGTAGCAGGAAGATACATTCCTGTGCTCACAGGAGCTATGTAGCATCACCTAACAGGAACACTTTATGATGTTCCTTTGTGATCTAGCCACTCCCATTAGTGGGTGCCTGTAAATGCTCAGCTAATATACACTGGTAACATCAACAACCAACAACAAATATCAACTCTCTCTCCCCCACCTCATCTTTCTCTTAGTACAGAAAGAAGTGCTTGAACAAGAAAATGTCCCAAGAGATAGTAGTGATAACTGCTACCAGTTAGTGAGCGTTAGTTTCAGAGCACAGTGCAAAACTCTTCATATGCACGCTTATTTAATCAAAAAAACTTTCTGATATAAATATTTTCCAACTTTTACATATCAGAAAATAAGGCTCAGAAAAGTTAATAAGCAAGGTCTCAGAGTAGGAAGTAGTTTATTAATCTAGGTTTTGTGACCTGGGAACATAACCACTGTGCCCTTCTGCTTGGTTTTCAATTCATGTTGGGAGATGCTATGTTTCTGAGAATATTGTGAGCCTCCATGACAACCTGTTTGTTTGTAAACAGGGACAGGGCCTCCCTGGTGGCACATGCGGTTGAACCCGTGCTGTGAAGGTGTCTGCAGCCTCTGCAGCATGGGTTCCATCCCCGCCGGCCAGCGAGAGTCCCACATGGTGCAGCAGACCTCTTCTGTCTCGCGGGCTGCTCCCCTCAGCAGTGTATTTCAGTCAGTCTGCCTATTCTGTTCCCTGCTCTCTCTCTGGTGAATCCTCTCACCCTCCCGCACATCTGGCCTGTACCCAGGTTCTTGTATAAATAAATAAATCTTAAAAAAAATAAAATAAAAAACAGAGACAGAACAAAAAAAAAAATCCAGGTTTTTTTTTTTTTTGCAAGGATACAGATGGCTGCTATTAACTTTTAATTACTAGTCATAACCTTTCAATCTTCTACTTCATATTGGACAACCTATAGTTTGAAAGCGATGGCAACTCTTATGAACCTACCTTACCACAAGAAAACAATTTTGACCTGGAAAAGCAGAACTTTTTGCAGAAAACACAGGCATACAATGAAAAAGATACCTATGTATAGATACCTATGTATCTATATCCCTTAGTGCTTCTGGATCTACGAAACTGTCATCTTAAAAAAAAAATCACATTCCAAGAACTTTTCCTCCATCAATCCTTACCAACACAAGAAACATGCATTCGTCAGAGCTGTTCTATTCGGCTGGTTGAACTGTAGGAGCTAAGATTTATTTTTGAGCGGGGAGGGAGCACAGGGGCTGTCTGTGCTGGCAGGCAAGATGGTTACAGGGCCTCAACCCCAAAGAGTGGGTCCTTCGCCCTCTAAGAAAAATATTCACCAAGGAGCGCTACTTGTAATTGAACCAGGCATGGCTTTAGTAGAGAGACACATACACGCCGGGACTAGTTTGGGAAAGGAAGACATAAGCTGCGCCTGGAAGAGAGTGTGCGAGGAGCAGATAGTGAAAGGAAGGTTCCATAAGGCAGAAGGCAGTGGGCGGTCTCAGAGGTTGTCCAGGGTTGGCCTACTGGGCATGCGCAGACGGCTACACGCCAACTGCGCATGCGGGCTCCCGGCTTTCTTCGTGCTGGAGCCGTGAGGCCCCACGCGTCCACCGACCATGGTGCCTCAGGGTCAGGGTGGCGCGCTGCATTGTTTAGGCGCGGCTGGCCCTCCCACGACTCAGTCCCCCTGTTCAAAGAGGACTGGGACACGCATCCCACCCACTTGCAACTTCTTTTCCCTAGGCTGTCTCGCGATGGCCACGTCCCCCACCCGCCACGGCACCAGCTGCGGGCGCAGCCTCATCACGCACTCCCGCTGCGACCCGGAAGCCCCGGACCGGCTCAGCCCCGGCACTCACCGTAGGTAAAATACGCCACTTCCGGCGGAAGCGAGACGTTGTGCAGCGTGTCGTCCTGCACGTGCTGGTCCACGTACAGCTGGGCCTCGCTGGCCTTCAGGAAGGCCATGAACCTGGCGGTGAAGGAGGCCACGAAGATGGACAGCATCCCGAAGTCCAGCAGGTTCCACAGGTGCAGCACGTACTCTCGCGGCCCCTCCTCCCAGATCTCCTTGCACTCCGACCAGATCATGCCTGCGGGGTACAGCCGGGCCAGTTTCAGTTTCTGCAGGGTTTTGACCGCAGCAGGGCGTGGAGGGCCCCAGCAGGGCGTGGAGGGCCCCGGGGGAAATGGAAATGGGAGCCCTTGGGATCCAGCAGCACACGGAAGAGGTGGATCTACAAGAGACTCTGGGAGGCCGCAGACCCCCTCAAAGGTATGTCTCGAGTCAGTTTACAGAAAAGCCACCTTGCATGAGGAGCGGCCTTATCCCTTGAGAGTTCTCGGAGACGACTTGGGAGAAATACAGACTGACATTTAGACATTTTAAAAACTGAAGGGAGGGGAGGATGGTGTCACGTGGAATCATCCATTTCTAAATGCAATATAAGAAGACTGAGGTTCAGGTGTCCTGAAGGTCCCACATATGGCTTAACATCCAGTTCCTTAAACTCCCAGAGTGCCTTGCTTTCCTCTCGATTTCCAGGACCTTATCAGTGTAAGTCTGGGGTTACCAGATTCTCCCCAGCCTCCTGCCCCGTCCACCCGCTGCACTTTTATATATTTTCCTTGGATTTTTAAGGACTAGTCCTCACTCTCATATTAAACAGTGCGGAGGTATGTAAAAAAGCGTTACAGTATCCCTGGTTCACGTGCTTGAAGTGTGGCCAGTTGCATTGAGAGGTGTTGTATGAAATACCTACTGGATTTCAAAGGCTGAGTATAAAAAAGAGAAAATAAGACATCTCAGTTTTGGGGTGTATCAGTCACATGTTGAAATGATAATATTTTGTGTCTGTTGGGTTAGAGAAAATATGTGACAGACTGATTTCACCTGTTTTGTAACGTGGCCACTAAAAATTTAGAATATGTGACTTTTTGGTTGTAACTTGCACTGTTTCTGTTGTATACTGCTGTTTTCACTGTTTAGTAGAAGTGAATTGGTTTAGTTATCAAAAATTTACAATTCGATAACATTTTGAGCACCTACTATGAGCTAGGCAGACTTACAGCTACTCAAACCAGGAGAAGATGTAATGCGAACCAGCTGTTCTGCATTATGCCACCACGTGCTTCACGTGGATACTCTGGGGCTCATGGGAATGTGGTAAAAGAATCACTGATTGGCTGACCAGTCAAACAGTTCCAGTGGCTCGCCTTCCAGGTGCCTCCTGCCTCTCCTGCTCCCTCTCTGTTTTCCTCCTCTTTCCTTGAAGGCTGCTGCTTTCCAAGGTTTCAGCCATTCCCATTCTTCCCTCTTCCCCGAGTAAGTGCATCCATGCCTGAAGCTTTGGCCTTTGTTTCCTTGCAAACATCCCCCAGGTGAACATCTTCCTATTTTTCTAAGAGCCTCAAAGCTGAAGTCCCACCACACAGAGGGACAGCTCTGAATGGATGTCCTGCCAGTGCCAGAAAGACCCCATATGTAAGCGCCCACTGCCCCGCACAGTGGCACATTGCCCAGTACCCCAGCTTGCACCCCTCATTCCTCCTCGGCTATCTCCGTGCAGCATCACAGTTCTGCAGCTCCTCCTCTGGTGGACTCCCACGTCCATCCTGCCCTTTCAGTTTTCACTTTCTCTCATCTCCTGAACTGCAGGTCAGTTCCCATAACAGCCCTCTACAGTGTATTTGTCATGCCCCCAACATAAAGTCCAGACTCCAAATGAGGCTGTCACACTTTCCCATGATCTCTCTGTCTCCACACGTCCTGTATTCCCGCAGAGCAGGTCTGCCCAGCTTCTCCCCCGTGGTCCATCCCAGCCGTGTGCTTATGTTGCTCCCTATACCTCTGGACCTCAACCCCCAGTGCACGAGCAGACACCTGCGGCCTTTGAGGCCTAATACAGTTGCCTTTGAGGCCTTAGCTGCCAAATGCGTGGAGTCGAGTTTGATGCTGGGAGCAGACAGTTATGGAGACTTTGCCCTGGCTGGGCGTGACCGGCTGTGCACACTGGAGGACGGACCTAACCATCATCTTCACTCCTCTGGGCCCTGCCCAGGGGCTGAGGAGCTGTTTAGAGATGTGGCTTTCTTTGATGGAACAGATTCTAGATCTGCATGTCTCCACCCAGTTGGAGTCTCCATAATAGGAACTATCCCAAACATTGCAGGTCTATTTACAATAAACCCCTAAACCCCCTTTTCCTTCCGCCTCCCAGTGACACAGCCATACTTCTCAAGATTATTCTTTCAAAATGTGTGTGGCTGTTCAGTGCAGTAACGATTTTCTGAACACTAAAATGTACTTTCATCTATGCCTGTGCAAATAGACATTTTGAGAATTTTATTAGAAAAACCTATAGGCTGGCTTATTGCTTTCCTAAACCCCCAAATTAAAATTCTCATCTCTTAGTGGAACTGCTTTAAGCTGGACCCTGGGAGATGCATCAGCTCTCACTTAGGACTATCACTGGCCATCATTCAGGAAGCCCTGGGTTCAGGTACTAACTTGGCCACTTACTGCATGTGTTACCATACATAAGTCCCTTAATTTTCTTGGGAGTTTTGGGATAATTTCAAGTACTAAAAGCCCTTATGAATCAGAAATGAAAATTATTTACAGAAATTGGACTCTTCTGGCAATATAGTAGCTCCTTATTGTTCATTGCAAATCTCTTCCTACATGGTCAGGTGCCCATATCAGTCCTCCTAGATTTAAATCTTTTTTTTTTTTTAAAGATTGATTTATTTTATACAAGAACCAGAGTACAGGCCAGATTCCTGGGAGGGTGAGAGGATTCACCAGAGACAGAGCGGGGAACAGAACAGGCAGACTGACGAAATACACTGCTGAGGGGAGCAGCGGGCGAGACGGGAGAGGTCTGCTGCGCCATGTGGGACCCTCACCGGTGGCCAGGATCGAACCGGCACCGCAGAGGCTGCAGACAGCTTCACAGTGTGGTGCTCAACTCCCTGCGCCACCAGGGGAGGCCTGCAGATTTAAATCTTAACTCACCCAGACTAATTTAAATTATTCCATGGCCATAAGTAAAAGCAGCTTGGACCCAAGGGTTTGAGCAGCAGGAATGCTTAATGAAAAAAGAAATGTGTGAAATTAACTACTTTAGTGAGTGAAATCAGGCCCCCTGCTTCCAAGGTGCTGAGGGTGGTTCAGCATTTTATATCCTGGCTGAGCCTTGGTCTCTTCCTCCAGCATGTCAATCAGAGGAATATTTACAGCCCAAGGGCTCAGGGGGTAAGGCTGCTGGGCACTCGAGCCTCCTTCAAGCAAAGTCCCCTTTACTCAGGGATGCCTGGAGCTCAGAGAACAAGGTCACTGGTAATTAACCAGGGTGACTGGCAGAGGAACAGGCTAGGAAATTCTGGGAAACCTTGGGGGAGAGGAATAACTTCATTTAGGCAGGTTCTGAGCAGTGGCCTGCAGGCTGCTGAGGTGGAGCTTGGCACTTCAAAAATAGGTCAGTCCCCTCCCTGCCTCAGATGCCATTCAGAAGGGAATGCCCTTCATGGTCTTATAAGACTTAAATATGCACATTCCTTAAGTGGTCCTGCCCCTCAGAACCTCCTCTGCACTGTCCTGGGGCCCCCTGCAGAGTAGACTTCTTCCCAGACTACCTCCTGGCAGGACTATCTGTTCTTTCAGGTCATCTTCTCATTGGACCAGGATGTAGCTGTTCTGTGAACTCACAGGAGGCAGAATGTGCCTACTTGCTCTCAGCTCTCGAACACTTAACATCCAACCAGTATCTCAGTGGCAGGTCTTTTGCAACAAATTTGGGCCTCAGATACAGGCAGGAATTATTTGTGTTCTGGAGAGGAAGATGATATTAATGGATTCAAAAATTTCCTAACAAAGCTCCTTCTCTTCTCTAATTTTAGTAGCTAACAATTACTGAACACCTGCTAGGTGCCAGGCCGTGTGCTACCCTGCATCTTCAGGCTAGCTTGACAAATAGCTCTTGTAATTATCTCCACTGAGCAGATGAAGAAACTCATGTCCGAAGAGGGCAAGTCATTGAAGGTCATACAAGTGGTCCTGCATCCTCGTCTTCCACGTGCTGTTACCCATCATACCCTCCACCGGGTGCATGCTTCCTGTCACTGCCCAAGGGGCTGTTGGGGGGAGACAGGGGTAAGAGCAGTAAGCTTTATAATACTGAGTCCTGCACAGTGTCAGGCACAACACATGTCTGTTGAATGAGGAAGTGAATTCATGGAGGAGGCTATACTTGGCATGAGTGGAGGAGGAGGGACTGGCACCATGGTGTGCTGGGTAGGATAGTGGCCATGGCAGTGAGGGAGAACAGGCTCCTGAGAGGCTCAGTGTCAAGGCTCAAGCATCAGGGAAGGGGCTGGAGGTTGGCAGCAGGAGAGCTAGTGAAGGCCTGGCATACCAGGAAGAGCCTTCAGGACATGAGAACAGACAGCGCAGCTGACAGCGCTAAGCAGAGCAGCAGAGTTGTCTCATATGCTGGGAGAAACTTGGGCAAGTTGTTTGAGGGTAGTGTACTTGGCAGTCCCATCTAAATAAATGAAGAAACCGTGAAAAGAAAGAATAAGTAAGGAACCCGTCCATGTGATGCTAGAATTTCGTTCTTGGCCAAATCTGGATTTCAGACTATGATTCTGGATTTCAGACTAAGTACAGCCCTCAAAGAATTTATAATCCTGTGTGGCATGGGATAAGAGATCAGCTTGATCCTCACATTTCACACATGCGAAAAGTGCCAGAAAGGCAGAGCCCACCAAGGAGGAAGGGAAAGCAGGTAAGATTGGGTTTCCCAACACCTGGTGCCAAGCTCTTTCCCCTTCTCGGCCCATCAGTGCATCTTCCTGCTCTGCTGGGCAGCTGGAGCTCACACACACAATTGATCTTCCTGTGCTGGAGCATATGTTTAAGAAAACATTGCCAGGTTCTCTGGGAGAGTGGTTTGGAAAGTCTTTAGGACAGGATTCTTTTCCTTGATGGAGAAATGATAGTTCTGGGGGCGGCTTCCTGCCCTCCATGCTGGTGGCTTTCTGAAAACTGCTCATGTTGCACGATCCTCTGATGATGGTCTTGAGAGCAC